ATCCCTTTCAAGTAATGTTCCAACCAGTTTGAGGACAGTTGGTCAAATGTGTGACTGTTTGTGATTATAACGTTGAGAAAAGTGCGACAGAGATATAAGACTAAGTGATAAGAAATTTGGAGCAAGAGAAACCTTCTGAAACAGAGGCTTATAAGGCTGTGACAAATACCTGTGAATCAGCAACTCAAACACAGTTAATATCAAATTTGAACAACTGTTCAGATAGATGGTTGAAGGAAAAGTGATTAAAAGGATGTGAGATCAGTGTGATATATTTACTGAGGACTACTGCTTGATGGTATGTCCAACATGAGTAGCCCCTATGGCCAAAGCAGTTTAAGTTTTTAATTTCTACGCTGTTCTATGAGTATGAATATAAGAACAAGTGTCCAGAAGCTGGAAAGATTTTTAAAAATTTGTTTGTGCGATATGGGCATTTATTCCTTATCACTAATTGCCCTTCAGCTGCCTTTTGAACTATTCCAGTTCTTAGGATATGAGTTTCTTATAAAGGCTAAGATAGATTTTAAAATGCTACTTCCATTTGAAATTCTTCTGGATCAGGAGTGCAGGATCCACTTTCCCAGGCTTTGCAAGGGATTATTGGCCACCTCCAGACCCAGCTTTGTCTCCCGCTTTCCCTGAATGGGTATAGAAGTCACAAGCCCTCCTACTTCCATCTCCCTATGCAACACAAGTCTATCCTTACAATGGAAATCCTTCCCTTGGGTCCCTAGCATTGCATGAGACCTCAGCCAATTCCTGTTCTTACCCATTAAACATTGACATCATTCAGCCAGGTTAGGGCTAGGTATATATTTGATATATGCATTGGCAAGAAAGCTGGTAAAATCAGGTGAGATCAGAAGTCAGCAATTCTCAATGACGAGAACAAAAAGCCCCATTTTCCTACCAAGTGTTGAATAGTTCAAGGTGAATCTTCCTAGTGAGCAGCAAGTGGCCTATTTACATCTATTAGCATTCCATTGTTAGTTAATCTCACCTCATTGAGATGCAGTTTTCCATTCTCCCACTTTCTGGATAGAAGCTAGATGGTGACAATTCCCAATTTGAAAGTTAGAGCAGGTACCTGGCAGCTCCTGCTCACCACTTGCCTCTCCGGCCCTCCATCTGGTGCAGCAGTTCCCAACATCCCAGATCCATGGGCAGCAACCACCTGCACCCTACATCCACAGACTTTGGCCTCAAACACACATCAGCCTCATTGCATGCTCATGGCACATCTCCAAGCCCTTACAATACACTCCTGCAAATCAGTGCTGCACTTTGGAATGCACCGACTCTACCTTGCCTTGCATTGCTTTTTCACCTCCACCCCCCCCACCTCCCCAACCAGATCTAACAGGCTCACAGTGTTCCTGTCTTGACCTGCCTTTTAAAACAGGCACAAAGCCAGGAATAGTAGGAACTGCAGATGCTGGAGAATCCGAGACAACAAGGTGCAGAGCTGGATGAACACAGCAGGCCAAGCAGCATCATAGGAGCAGAAAGGCTGACGTTTCGGGCCTAGACCCTTCATCGGAAATGGGGGAGGGGAAGGAGGTTCTGAAATAAATAGGGAGAGAGGGGGAGGCGGATAGAAGATGGATAAAGAAGAGGATAGGTGGACAGGAAACAAACAGGTCGAAGAGGCGGGGATGGAGCCAGTAAAGGTGAGTGTAGGTGGGGAGTTAGGGAGGGGATAGGTCAGTCCAGGAAGGACGGACAGGTCAAGGGGGTGGGATGAGGTTAGTAAGTAGGAGATGGGGGTGCGGCTTTCACAAGCTTCAAAATCTCCCCTCCCCCTACCGCATCCCAAAACCAGTCCAGCTCGTCCCCGCCTCCCTAACCTGTTCTTCCTCCCACCTATCCCCTCCTCCTGCCTCAAGCCGCACCCCCATCTCCTACCTACTAACCTCATCCCGCCCCCTTGACCTGTCCGTCCTCCCTGGACTGACCTATCCCCTCCCTAAATCCCCACCTACACTCACCTTTACTGGCTCCATCCCCGCCTCTTCGACCTGTTTGTTTCCTCTCCACCTATCCTCTCCTCTATTCATCTTCTATCCGCCTCCCACTCTCTCCCTATTTATTTCAGAACCCCCTTCCCCTCCCCCATTTCTGATGAAGGGTCTAGGCCCAAAACGTCAGCCTTTCTGCTCCTATGATGCTGCTTGGCCTGCTGCGTTCATCCAGCTCTGCACCTTGTTGTCACAAAGCCAGGAAGTTTGTCATGGTTGTCAACAGTCATCATTCAAGGGTGTTGACCTATTGCTGCAAAGCACCAATCTCACCCCTGCATCATTGGCCAGCAGCATACTGCATGTGTTTCAACCAAACAGCCATGTCTCAAATGCCATGGGGAGTACTCTTCAGTCAAGTCAAGGGATACACCATTTAGTCAGGGCTTCCAGGCACAATAAGTCATGGCTGCCTCCAGGCCTGGAGCTTGGGCACAGTCAGTCAGCTCCTTAGGAAGTTCAGGTTTGGCGGGGTTGGTGCCCATACCTCTACAGTCCGCGGAGTGAGCCACAGTCAGCCCTGTGGCTCCCAGTGTAACCAGTCCAAGTAGTCCTGTTAAGTCAGTTTGGGTGCTGCACAGAGATTACTCAGGGGTCTGGTCACTGATCAGGTGGGTTGTACATCTAAGTAGTTAAGAGGGTGGGCCATGTTCAGCCCTATGGATCTATCACTGAACATCAAAGGCAGGGTGGGTTATCAGCAGTCATTGCTGTCAGAAGGAAGCTGTGGAACTCAGTGGTGGAGATTGAAGGCAGCATGCAAGGAAGTGGGGAGATGATACAGCAATGAAGGCTCAGGGGTTACTTCCAGAGGGGAATTTACCCCCATCACAGCCTCGATGGAGGCCAGTATATCACAATGGTTTGCATGAATTAACTGCAGGATTGGGGTTCAGAGAGTAATGTTGAGAGATAAAGTCTGAAATTATCGAGGTTTATGGGAATGTTGGAAAAGTCAGTACTAATGGGCTTGATAGGGAGTACCAGGAAGAAAGAAGCATGGAGCTAGTGGAAGGAGTGTGGGGCTTTATTCCCAGGCAGAGTCTGTGACTCACTGTGCCAAATGTAACCTGCAAGGACTTCCAGACCCTCATACAAATCTTAATTGTGCACCAGGAACAGAAAATGACTGTGACCAGACCTGGAGTGGGAGGAGTAAGTGTTTTATTCACTGCGTGAGCACATGGGGTCTTCTTATGGATGATGTGAAACCCTTCATAGGACAATTGCATTGATTAGGCACTTTCAAAATTCAGATTGAAATCATTTGTAATCATAGCATCCTGGATGCAAAATGCAGTTAGCATCTAACTGTGTTGGGTACTGGTCACAAACAATCTTGACCATGTTATTGGTCATTGCAGGTTGATCTCTGTGATGCTGAGGTAATTACAGATGACCTTAAAATTGGTACCTGTGAGCTACAATTCACAAAATTGGCCCAGGATTTCATAGACTGCACAAGGGCTCAGAGCTGATACCCTCTCATCTTGAACTGTAGATATTTGACAACACGTTCTTCTATGCAATGCTACCTTTTGTAGGTAGTATAGAGCTGGGAAGACAAGGTTTCAGTAATCAATACTTACCATCTCCTACTGTATTTGCACAAATTGGCTTGTTCTGCATTCATTGGAATAAGGTCCATGTAGAGGCATTCCACAGCCATCCTTGTCTGAGTCCTGTATGTCCCACTGTTTGGAGGGATATGCTAAACCAACAAGAACTAGACGTCTTACCAGGATGCTTACTGGAAGACCAGGACTACCCTCTACAGCCATGTCTGATGACTCTGAGGCCGAGGGTAGATCCAATGCAGCCCATTCTTTGGCCAGGGCCGTGATGGAGCAGATGATAGGCCTCCTAAAGATGAGATTTCAGATGCTTGGATTGGTCAGGGGCATTCTTAAAGTACAATCCGCACAGAGTGTATTGCATAATCCTAGCATTTTGTGATTTGCAGAACTGCAGCAAGACAGGAGGTAAAGAGTTAGACTCTGAAGAGCTGGAAGTTCAGCAGCAGTCTTCAGAGTCCAAAAATGGGGACATTAAGCAGGAGGAACATCATTCTGAATAATGGAACACAGTAGCATCAAATACAATAAGATAAACAGGGGTGAATTGACACCCAGTTCTAGTCGATGAGTGCTGATTGCCATGATCACTCTCTAACTGTATGTTTGTTGGTGTTCAGAAGGCACGTAGTTTGTTTTTGGTCCCATTGACAAATACAGTGTGTGAATTTGTTCATTGTTCATTTCTGCTATTGCTGGATAAAAGTGAGTGTTTTCAAGTGTTTGAAGGATTTCCAGTATGTGAGCTGCTACATTGAACAATGAGAGGATGATAGGTTACATTGGGGAAAGAGTAAGGGTACTGAGATGAGATGAGATTAGGGGTGGGTAAGGTGAGTAGCTTGATTCTTAAGTAGCAACAGATTTATCAATGTGCACTTGGACCTGCAATGAAATGTCAGCCATGCTATTTATATGGCCTGAGAAGCATTTGTTTTTGGTTGCCCTCTAAATACATGCACAGTGAAGGGAACCCCTGACTGGCACTTGACTGGGCACACATCTGGGTTTTAAAAATGATGCCAAGTCGGGAATCCTGGGAGGTCCCAGCACTAGTAGGTACTTCTGCCTGTGTTGACTGAAAGGACACAATTATCAGAGTATCAAAGCAGTGCGTGCACAGATAATGAGGTGAGCTTTGGAACATAGTGTGAGAAGTCTTGCTAGGCCAAAAACTGGACAAAATTAACACTTAGCCAAACGCTAGTAAACTTCATCCCATTCTATTTGTATAACCTTATTTTCTTGGGATGCTGCTTCAAGGGTCTTGTAAACCTAAGCTCTCTAATTACCCAGGAGGAGGGAAACCTGAACATACAGTGCATAATTAAAGCTTATTAACATTGTAAAGTTAATTTACAAAACAACATCTGACATCTATTATTAAAGTAACCTTCCATTTCAGAAGCAACAGCCTGCACAAAACAGAATATATAAAAAGGTATGTCCTCAATTATCCTAAATTGTCTCTTAGAGTATTGCTTTTTCCTATATTTTATTAAAGATTTCTTATCACATGATTTCACATGATGGCTCAGAGACTTGGGGAAAGCCATTCGCTCTGTTTAGGATGTATGTATATATTATGTACGGCAAAATTGCTATATTTGATGCAATTATTGAATATGACACTACAGTTTCAAGTGAATTGCTTTTTTAAGCAGTTCTATCACATATTTGGGTGATAATATTTTATGTTGTTAATTCCAGCCTCGTAATGGAAGAACTTTTGATGTGTATTCACAACAAACAAAACATCATCTGAAACGTATGTACGTTTATATCAACATCTCTTCTTACAAAAGTTATCTTAGAGGAAGGCAGTAATTTCATTTTATCGCACACAAACAGCATTTATGAGAGGCTAAATATGAAGTGTATTAACATACTATCCATTCAGCTCTGGGAACTAGATTATTAATCAATTCAGGCTGATGAGATGAAAACAGAGTGCTGGATCTTAAGTTGTTTTTGGATACATAAAATTTTTTGGAGGGATTTCTGCCACAAAGTGTTTTCTCATGTATCTTGGCAAACTTGTCCAATTAACTAGCTATCCCAGGCTTACGGCATCCCTCATGTTCAGTTTCAACTCCTTATTACCATGTGCCACTCAACAGATGTTCAGAATTCACTAGCATCCCTTGTACCCATACCATCTTTAAAAACCTGTTGTGCACCAGGATAAGCGCTGTCAGCCCGGAGCTGCTCTGCACAGTTCCTGATATTTGCCTCGGACATGGCAGACAAGGGGATATCAGCACCCTGGCTTTGTAGGCAGAGTCCTGGAGGTCCTGCTGGATTGGATTGTGCAGAGATGGGACTTTGTCTTTCCCCAGGACCAGCGGTGGAGACTACGACAGCAGACCATGCCAATCTGGTCTGAGGTTGTCACTTGCATTAAAGCACACTCAGCCATCTGAAGGAGTGCCCAACACTGTAAGAAGAAGGTCAATCGCCTTCTTCACTCAGCCAGGGTAAGTGCCATCATCCTCTCTCTGATACCTTACACTCAATCTATCTTTGCTGCTGCACCCACCTCCCACAAAGGCTTATTATTACATGCAACATCTCTCCTCACTTACTCTCAGCCACCCGAAACCCTGACGCCACTAACTCTCACACCTTCTTGCAATGCTTCCTGACATGCTTGGGGCATCTCCCGATCTATACCAGAAGTAACAGCCGTGCTGCTTGGCATTCAGCTCCTCACCCCCTTATGTAGAGAGCTTCCTGATTCTGTTTGCCTGAGCAGCTGCGTTTGGACTGTATCGGAGGCTGCCCATGATTTACTGTGCTGAGACCCACTGAGTGAAGGCTAATCCCCAGCCCTGACTTTGACTGAGGCTGATAACAATGACAAATGTCCTCCTTTTCTGTTTAAGCAAAACACACAGAAGTAATACGAGCCTTGAAGCTGAGAGGGCAAAGCAAGGCAATGCAAAGAGGGGATGCTATGAGCATCCAGGTAGGTTTACAGTGAATGAGCATTATAAGAGCAAGCAAGCAGTCTGGACTTGCAGCCTGGTACAGTCCATAAACTGAGTGTGTGTCCCTGAGTGCAAAGTGTCCTTGCTGCAGCATTACAATAATAGTTGCTGGCACAGCCCAAGGTGCGTCATTGTAGCACCACAGCGTCCTGTAAGCAATTGGAGATATGCCACGAGCGTTGTTAGAGGCTGGCACATGTCGGATGCCACTGTCTATGGATGTGGGATGCATCTGGCTGGTGCTCACGGTACATGCCCTGAGTTTGTGGTGCCCAATATCTGTCATTCAGAGCAAGCAGCGAGTTGAATTGTCCAGTTGCCCATTCTGGTTTCCATGTCATTTTTCTCAGCCTCTAGTTTGCTTGCCAAGTTTGGTAAGCTAGAAAGCTGAATACTAACGGGCCATCAACAAGGCATTTAACAAGCAGCTCACCACTGCCCAGTGAGAAACTCACCATGCCACTTGTTAAAAACATATTATATGGAGCAAGTTGTTGCTGACAGCCTTGTTGGACTTCGTATCTAACTCTGTCAGAAATCTTGCCAGAGCCCCCTTAGTTCCAATCCCTTTAAGATTTCACCCATTATTTCAAAAGACCTTTGAAAGGATAACCTACAGGAACCAAGTTTGAGCAGTCACAGTTCAGGTCCTGGTGAATGAGAGTTTATATGTACAGTTTGTAACCTGTCACAAACCTGTAATCTCACCCTGGAAGAACATAGGAGGTTGGACTCCTGGTGTCAGTACCATTTTCTGTTCCAGACCAACTCCTTGCAGAAGGCAGTCACTGGATGCAATTTACCTAGAGGTTACATATACTTGGCTGTAGAGCAGGTTTGGCAGCTAAGAGGGACGGTGGGTTTGAGAAGGAAGCAGGGGCTGAAAGTACAGGCCTAAGTTAAAGTGCTGAAGACAGCCATTGTGGCTGCCATGGTGAAATGCTGTAGAAATATGAGGTCTACAATCATCTGTGTGAACATGAACAGACTTTATAAAACATAACTCGTCAGCTGTTTGAACATGAACAGGCTTTGTTAAACATAACTATTCACAAGGCTTGGTAAGAGGACATATTGCTAAAGCCTTACAAACTGACACTCCAGGTCCATGTAATCTGATGTCTCTAAGACATAGCTACTTTGGTGCATGCTCCATTATTATTCTTGGAGTAAACCCTTCACTCCCCTCTACCCCAGTCGTCCTATTGTCCCCCACTCCCTCCCTTGCCAGCCCTAATTCTCCAGTTGTTTTACACAAGGCAAATTAAACTATTAACATTTAGGCACAAACAGTTAACTCAACTTCCATTTTCTCCCTCTCCACAAGTCTCTTTGGCTTGATACAATCATCTCCAACAACATTCTCTACTCTCTTGGAGGATGTATAAAAAGCATGGACTGCTTCAGCATTGTCTGGCAGGGTGAATGCATGGATGGAGTGGGATGGTGGCCTCAGGGGGAAGCAATAGCTTAGTGCAAATATCACTGGACTGTTAATCTAGAGACCTGGGTAATGTTCTGGGGACCCAGGTTCAAATTCCGCCACAGCAGATGGTGGAATTTGAATTCAATAAAAATCTAGAATTAAGAGTCTAATGATGACCATTGTCAATTGTTGGGAAAAGTCCATCTGGTTCACTAATGTCCTTTCGGGAAGCTCCAGACCCATCCTTATCTGGACTGGTCTACATTTGGCTCCAGACCCACAGCAATGTGGTTGATTCTTAACTACTCTCTGGGCAATTAGGCATGGGCAAGAAATGCTGCCTAGCCAGTGGCACCCTCATCCCATGAATGAATAAAGGAAAAACAAAATTCTGGAACTCCATCACAAGGTAAAAGTACATCATTCCCTGTGAGGGAATACACTTCTGAATCAGAACCTATAACAAGCCAGGTACCAGATCCTGCAAATTGTACTACAACGGTACAAACACCCAAGACCTTGCCCACCAAAGCTTGTATTTTTGAGCAATCTCTTGATTCCTTGCCAATTGCTGTTGGAAACAGGTTACACAATGGAAATTGTTGGGTGGAAATGATGCCCTTTTAAAAGGTATTTTATGAGCTTTCTGCAGCCTGTTTTTTTAGGAAGTCCATTCAACATTAATTCTTAAAAAAAAATTAGAGATATTTCTTCAAAGATCCAGGCCCCATTGCTGTTGTAGGCCCCCAGAGAGACTCATCTTTTACGTTTATCCGATATACCTCCATTGGGTTTCTCAGAAAGCTGGGAATATGAGAAATCCCAACGTAATCTGTCTTTTCCTCAAAAGGTAGTGAAGGCAGAATCTTTGACTATTTTTAAAGGGTGAGGTGAAGAGATTCTTGGTAAGCAAGGGGTGAAAGGTTATTGAAGGTAGATAAGAATGGATTCATGGTGACAACCAGATCAGCCATGATCTTATAAAATGGTGAAGCAAGTTCAAGAGGCTGAATGGCCTACTCCTGCCCCTAATTAGTATGCTCATAAATTGTCCTTATTCCTTTCAACTCCTTTCTGTAAGAATGTCTGTATTTGGGACAGGCAGGGAGTCCGTCCCAAACCATAAACACTGAAACAAAATTGTAATTCTTCTAAAGTACTCCCAATGACCTTCCAGTGGAAATGTACTGAAAAAGTCATACGTTGCCAACATCGTTTTTTTAAATGCCCTACCATAGATTGGTGAGTCTCACATCAGTGGTTGGGAAGCTATTGGAGAGAATTCTTAGCGATAGGATTTATGCGCATTTGGAAATGCATGTTCTAATTAGGGACAGTCAGCATGGCTTTGTACAGGGCAGGTCATGTTTTACTAACTTGATTGAATTTTTTGACAAGGTGACAGAGATGATCAATCAGGGTTGAGCAGTGGATGTTGTCTACATAGATTTTAGTAAGGCTTTCAACAAGGTCCCCAATGGTAGGCTCATCCTGGAGGTCAAGATGCATGGATCCATGGTAACTTAGCTGTGTGGATTCCAAACTGGCTTGCCCATAGAAGGCAGCAGGTAGTGGCGGAAGGGTGTTTTTCTGGCTGGAGATCTGTGATTGGTGGTGTTCCATAGGGATCCATACTGGGACCTCTGCTGTTTGTGATATATGTAAATGACTTGGATGAAAACATAGATGGGCAGGTTAGTAAGTTTGCAGATGATACAAAGACCAGTGCAGTTGTGGATAATATAGAAGATTGTCAAAGGATACAGCGGGATGTAGATCAGTCGCAGATATGGGCGGAGAAGTGGCAGATGGAGTTTAATCTGGCTATGTGTGAGGTGCTGCACTTTGGCAAATCAGATGTAATGGAAAAGTATACAGTTAATGGTAGGACCCTGAACAACATTGATGTACTGAGGAATCTTGGGTTTAAGTCCATAGCTCCCTGAAAGTGGCCACACAAGTAGACAGCATGGTAAAGAAGGCATATGGCATGCTGGCCTTTTTTGGTCGAGGAATTGAGTACAAGAGTCAAGATGTCATGTTGCAGTTTTGCAAGACTTTGGTTAGGCCACACTTAGAGTATTGCGTTCAATTCTGGTCACCACATTACAGGAAGGATGTGGGGGCTTTGGACAGGGTACAGAAGAGATTTACCAGAAAGCTGCCCATATTGGAGTGTATGAACTATAAGGAGAAGCTAGAAAAATCATGGTTGCTCTCTCTAGAGTGGCAGAGGCTGAGGCGGAGACTTGATAGAAGTCAATAAAATTATGAGGGGCATAGATAGGGTTAACGGTCAGAATCTTTTTCCCAGAGTTGAAATATCTAATGCTAGAGGGCATGCATTTAAGGTAAGAGGTGAAAAGTTCAAAGGAGTCTGGAACGAGCTGCCGGGGTGACAGTGGAGGTAGATACGATAGGGCATTTAAGGAACTTTTACATATGCACATGAATGTGAATGGAATGGCAGGACAGGCAGAAGGGATTAGTTTAATTTGGCATCATGTTTGGCACAACATCGTGGGCTGAAGGGCCCATTCCTGTGCTCTACTGTTCTATGTCGATTATAGAATTTTTGCACTACAAGTATGAAATTATAAAATGAATATTTTATTGATGATAAAAACTGAAGCCAATAACTGGCGTTTTTGGTAATAAATAAACTTGGTTATATCATTTGATGGCTTGAGTCTCAGCTGCACTGAATAAGACTTCTAAAATGCAGTGAAATCTGGTGAAATTGGTTTAATGGTTAGATTGCATCATCCTATCTAACCTGAGGAGCTTCACTGGCCTACAATTTTGAAATATTGTATGAAAATATAACAAATGAACCTTTGTTTTGCAGATTCTTTGGAATAACCCCTGAGGCATAACAGAACAATTACAAGCTTCAGTGGACCTTCATCCCTTGAAAGTGTCTAATAATCATTAACTATAAGCAGGCTGTAACTTTGGACAATTTGTGGTAAATCACAAGATATTGTAATATGCTGCTGAAAATTAGAGATGTGCTTTCTACTGTGAATAATAAATATCTCACACAGCATTTTCTATTGTCTGTTTTAGTATTTTTATTGAGTAAGTTGCAGGATGAACAGCACCCTCTGGAAGTGATGCAGCAGATAATGAATGCCTCAGTCACTTGGGAAGGTTTCCTATATTCCAATGAAACAGTAGCAAAAATGTAAAATGGCTTTAAATAGGGGTCTTAAATGGACTAATTGGCAGCCTAGCTCTGTGGAATGGGCAGGCAACCCTGTTCCCTTTTCTCCCCTAGCAAAATCGCCCAGAGGCTGAAATGTAGCAGAAAGCAGTCCTAATGTGTTTCTCTGCTTTTTTTTTGTCACTAGCCTTATTTCTATAGGCTTGAAAATCCAACTTCTTGTATGTTCAATTCAAAAATTCCTTCCCGTGTTTATGCAGATCAAGAAACATTGGAGCTGTGTTCCACAATATTCCTACTACTGCTAAGTCTGACATGCATATCATTAAAAAGGAATATATAGCATATAATAGAAATGAAGAAACAATATAACTAACCATAAAAGAAAATTTCCTCACATTATAGATACACATTGGTCTTGCTAGATATGCTCTGTTCAGCTATAAGCAAATGACTATCACTAGGCATTTTCCCACTAGGGAGGCAGTATGTTGGAACCAAGGAACAAAAAGAAAGTTGCTGGAAAAGCTCAGCAGGTCTGGCAGCATCTGTGAAGAAAACAATCAGAGTTAACGTTTCAGATCAAGTGACCCTTCCTCAGATTTTTGAGTTCTGAGGAAGGGTTACTTGAGCCAAACATTAACTCTGATTTCTCTCCACAGATGCTGACAGACCTGCTGAGCTTTTCCAGCAAGTTCTGTTTTTGCTCCCAATTTCCAGCGTCCGCAGATCTTTCAGTTTTTAAACAATAAATGAGGTTGATGCTGTTCAATCTAAGATCAACATCATGTTTTTAAAGAGGAATTGTGACAAGACCCATGGTAAAAGAGCCATGTTGTTTCCCCCTTAGTCTTTAAATGTTGTTTTAGGCAGCAGAAAGGGCAGTAATGCCTATGCCTTCAGAATTGGAAATTATAACATCTCAAAGTCTCCAATTCTGTTCCTTTTCAAGTCTGACAATACAGTAAACTGACCAATGGTGACAAGCAGACAAGTATTTAACTTTTTGAACTGGTGGAAGTCAATTTCTTTGATAGAATCCTGAAATCACTTTGATCTATGACTTCAGCTTTTGAATTCACCCAAACTAAACTTCAGAAACCAAAATATGCTTTTTAGCAAGCCTACAACATATATTTTCAGTACAAACCATTCACACAAATAATGAACTATTCATTTTGTTTATGACTTGTAAACATGCACAGTTCTCTTGAACTGTGCTTCCTTGAGTGTGTTTGTGTGTGACTGTATGAGTGAGAGCCACAGTGTTAGATTTCAGGACAAATATATGAATAAGCAATCAGCTTGATTTAAATTCACAAACAGCTTGCTCCTGTTTTAAGACTATTCCACTTTACAGACACTCGTACCCATTCGTGCACAAACAGTTGTGTGTATATACACACGCACGAATACTCGTTCATGCACGCAGACACTCATACACTTGTATAAACACACACACTTATATACAGACATACACTGGTGCACGCATGTACACACACTTGTACACGCACATAAATATACACCCATACACTCATCTCACACACACTCACAGTCATCACATTCACGTGTACACTCATCAACACACTTGTACACTCATCACACACATACACATACAGATGCATGTATACACACAAACATCTTGCCTTGAAAGTTTACTGATACTGACGGTTCTCTGACTCTGTCTGTAACATGGTCCAACATTCTGTGTACATGGTGCAGATATTTGACTATACTCATCTTACAGGCAAACATGCAAATCACTTGGTATGAATATTCTCTGTTTGACTAAAATGTGTCTAGTATCAACTCCAGATTTTTTGTTCTATCTCCTTCATGCTATGTGTGTTCTTTTGTTGATGACTTCCTGGTAATGCAGTGCGAACTCAGTGAATATATTCCAGTGAAATACATGATGCAGTTGCAATCAGCATGATCGTTTATGTTGAGGTGGCTGGTTGGTCTGTGTGGGAAGATACCACTTGGTTACTCTGTACATAAAGAGTTTGAAGATCAAATGTATTAAATTACATTAAAATATATGTTCTACTGCAAGTCTAGTAAAATTATTTATAAAGGTCAATCATACTTAATGTATTATGCACGAGAAACCAAAAATAAGAGAAACAGTAGCCATCGAGTACGCCGCTGCCACCAACATCCAAGATTTACCGGCCTACGTCGCTCCGCCCACCACCAACGTCGCTCCGCCCACCGCCAATATCGCTCCGCCCACCGCCAACGTCGCCCCGCCCACCGCCAATATCGCTCCGCCCACCGCCAATGTCGCTCCGCCCACCACCTCCACAGCCAGCAGCTCCAGGGGAGGCCGCAGCGCCCAGCTCTGCCGAGTATTCACCATCCCCCCAGACCTCCCCCTTACTGAGGACGAACGGTCAGTCCTCAGTAAAGGACTCACCTTTATCCTCCTCCACCCAAACATCGACGAATACAACTCATGTTTGGACACTGAGCAGTTTTTCCGCCGCCTCCACGCTTACTTCTTTAACCGTGAGCCAACCCTCCCTCTACTGACCCCTTCTCCCGCCTCCAACACACCCCCTCCTCCTGGACACCACCCCAAGGCCTCCTACCCTCCCTCGACCTCTTCATCTCCAACTGCCGTCGAGACATCGATCGCCTCAACCTCTCCACGCCTCTCACCCACTCCAACCTCTCCCCTGCAGAATGTGCAGTCCTCCGCTCCCTCCAATCCCAACCTCACCATAAAACCCGCGGACAAGGGAGGCGCAGTTGTAGTGTGGTGCACTGACCTCTACATTGCCGAGGCCAGACGCCAGCTCTCTGACACCTCCTCCTACCGCCCGCTTGATCATGATCCCACCCCCGACCACCAAACCATCATCTCCCAAACCATCCACAACCTCATCATCTCAGGTGACCTCCCACACACAGCCTCTAACCTCATCATTCCCCAACCCCGCACCGCCCATTTCTATCTCATTCCCAAAATCCACAAACCTGAATGCCCTGGTCGACCCATTGTCTCCGCCTGCTCCTGCCCCACCAAACTTATCTCCACCTATCTCAACTCCATTTTCTCCCCCTTGGTCCAGGAACTCCCTAACGACGTCGGTCACACCACCCACGCCCTCCACAACTTCCAATTCCCTGGTCCCCAACACCTCATCTTTACCGTGGACGTCCAGTCCCTATACACCTGCATTCCCCATGCAGATGGCCTAAAGGCCCTCCGCTTCTTCCTGTCCTGCAGACCCGACCAGTCCCCCTCCACTGACACCCTCATCCGCTTAGCCGAACTTGTCCTCACCCTCAACAACTTCTCTTTCAATTCCTCTCACTTCCTACAGACAAAGGGGGTGGCCATGGGTACCCGCATGGGCCCAAGCTATGCCTGCCTCTTTGTAGGATATGTGGAACAATCCCTCTTCCAAAGCTACACTGGCCCTATCCCCCCACCTCTTCCTCCGTTACATCGATGACTGTATCGGCGCCGCCTCGTGGTCCCACAAGGAGCTCAAACAGTTCATCCACTTCACTAACACCTTCCACCCCAACCTTAAGTTCACCTGGACCATCTCTGATACCTCTCCTTCCTGGACCTGTCTGTCTCCATCTCTGGCATCCACCTGGAAACTGGTATCCATTTCAAGCCTACCGACTCCCACAGCTTCCTAGAATAACCTCCTCTCACCCACCTTCCTGCAAAAAGGCCATCCCCTATTCCCAACTCCTTTGCCTCCACCGCATCTGCTCCCGAGATGAGGCATTCCACTCCCGGACATCCCAGATGTCTTCGTTTTTCAAGGAGCGCAACTTCCCCTCCACAGTGGTTGAAAATACCCTCGACCCTGTCTCTCGCATTTCCCGCAACTCATCCCTCACACCCTCTACCCGCAATAACAACCAAAACAGAATCCCCCTCGTCCTCACGTACCAGATGGTGAGATGGTGAACAACGCATCATCCTCCGACACTTCCGCCATCTGCAATCTGATCCCACTACCAAAGACATTTTTCCCTCCCCACCCTTATCTGCCTTCCGGACGGCCCATTCTCTCCGTAACTCCCTTGTCCGCTCCACACTCCCCTCCAGCCCCACCACCCCCGGCACTTTTCCCTGCAACTGGAGCAAGTGCTACACCTGCCCCTACACCTCCCTCCTCAACCCCATCCCAGGCCCCAAGAAGACCTTCCACATCAAACAGATGTTCACCTGCACATCTGCTAATGTGGTATACTGTATCCGCTGTTCCCGTTGTGGCCTCCTCTACATCGGGGAAACCAAGCGGAGGCTTGGGGACCGCTTTGCGGAACACCTACACTCGGTTCGCAACAAGCAACTACACCTCCCAGTCACGAACCATTTCAACTCCCCCTCCCATTCCTTGGACGACATGTCCATCCTGGGCCTCCTGCATTGCCACAACAATGCCACCCGAAGGTTGCAGGAACAGCAACTCATATTCCGCTTGGGAACCCTGCAGCCCAATGGTATCAATGTGGACTTCATAAGCTTCAAAATCTCCCCTCCCCCTACCGCATCCCAAAACCAGCCCAGCTCGTCCCCGCCTCCCTAACCTGTTCTTCCTCCCACCTATCCCCTCCTCCCACCTCAAGCCGCACCCCCATCTCCTACCTACTAACCTCATCCCGCCCCCTTGACCTGTCCGTCCTCCCTGGACTGACCTATCTCCTCCCTACCTCCCCACCTACACTCACCTTTACTGGCTCCATCCCCGCCTCTTTGACCTGTCTGTCTTCTCTCCGCCTATCTTCTCCTCTATCGATCTTCTATCCACCTCCCTCCCTCTCCCTATTTATTTCAGAAGCCCCTTCCCCTCCCCCATTTCTGAAGAAGGGTCACCGGACCCGAAACGTTAACTCTGTTTTCTCCTCCACAGATGCTGCCAGACCTGCTGAGCTTTTCCAGCAACTTTGTTTTTGTTCCTGATTTGCAGCATCCGCAGTTCTTTTGGTTTTTATTCAATATTTAAGCACTTGTCGCAGGAAGTACGATACTGTATTAGGAACAGTGACGGTCAATGAATGCAGCCTTACCCGTATCACCTACATGCAGAATAATCACTTTTTAATTTCAAGTTTCCAACATCACAAGTTTGTAAAGCTGCTTGCTACATACACGGTACATGTGCTATTACAACATTCTGAGGTCTACGTCCATCAATATAAACCATTTTCCTATCTGCCACACCTCAGCAATGAACCAGAAGGGAAGCAATGGGAACATGGAAGTGAGTCACTGGCTCGCTATTTCCTCATATGGAAATTGTGTCACTGCCTTTCCATAAATGGCATCGTAAGAAACCGGAAATTAGTGCGCTCTGAAAAGAAATCCCCTGGACCAGCAGCAGCTTTCAATCTGCAGGGAGTGAAATCCAACAGGAGAGGAATCCTATCTGCCTTCGTGTTATTGAGGGTGAAGCTGCAGCGGGAGAGTGTGCCCTGGAACATTGCGAGAGAGAGAGAGAGACCAAGGCTGCTCTAAGCAGCGAATCAGCAACATCCCGACAGCATGCAGGTCAGCAACTCTTCTCCTTGCTGTTCATATAAGCGGAAGAGACGCCTTTGTAGGGTGCTACTGAGCAGAAGCATGTTTTATTCTCATATGTGTGCAGGCTGACAAGAGACGAAACCTGAGATCGTTGGTACTACATGTAGCTGCGACGATTAAACATGTTTCCATTGATCCACGAGAAACTTTGTAGTCTTGTTTGGCCTACCACAGTGAGGGCTGCAAAACTGTTCCACATAAAAGCACGATTTGAATTCACCAGTCTTGTCAAACTGCATGTGCTTTGAAGCAATCAAAGAAATCTTAAAGTTATAAATGTGCACATGCACGGAAACTGCTTATTTACATGATTAACAACACATACGAGGATCACTCGAAAGGATATATGAGGGCTGCAAGCCCTATTTCAGGGAAGACATTTCTAGGCGTTCCTTGGCATTGGTGTTGCAACTTGTGTTCAATAGGCCACAAATTGCACACTAAACATTGCAGCAGAGTTGGAGGTCCTGTGAGTATGGCAAACCATCCAGACCATTAACTCAACATTCTCTTTTCAAGAACAGAAATGCATGCACTATCATTTGCTGATATAAGCTACATAGTGAGTCAGTTAGTTCAGTTGGCTGGACGGGTTGCTTGTGCTGAAGAGCGATGCCAACAGCATAGATTCAAATCTCCCACTATGAAGGACTCTCTCAAAACTCTCCCCTTGCCTGAGGTGTGGTGGCCCTCCGGTTAAACGACCATTAGTTGTGTCTCTCTAATGAGCAAGCAGCCCTATAGTCTGGTCTATGTTAGTCTCTGCATATGTATTGTATATTCTCATTGGGAGTTATATACAGGCCTCCTAGCAGTAGTCAGGCTGTGGGGCAGAAAATAAATCAGGAGACACAAAGGTTATGTAAGATTGGCATAATTACAGTAATCATGGGGGATCTTCAATATGTAGTGGTCTAAGAAATTCAGGTTGGTACCAGATCTCAAGAAAAGGAATTTGTGGAATGTCTACGAGAGGTTATTTGGAGCAGCTTGTGGTAGAACCCACCGGGAACAGGCAGTTCTGGATCTGGTGTTGTTTAATGAGGGAGATTTGATAAGAGAGCTTACAGTCAAGGAACCCCTAAGGACAGTGACCGTGATATGATAGAATTTGCCCTGCCATGTAGGAGGGAGAAGCTGGAATCGGATGTAATGGTATTACAATTGACTAAAGGTAACTACAAAGACATGAGATAGGAGCTGGCCAGAGTTGATTGGAAGGGGAGCCTAGTATGGAAGACAGGGGAGCAGCAATGACAGGAATTGGTGGGTAGGGGGTGATAGTAATGCAGGAGGCATGGCAGAAATTCATCCCATGGACAAAGAAACATATTAAGGGGAGGATGAGGCATTCGAGGCTGAGAAGGGAAGACAGGGACAGCATAAAAACAAAAGGGAAAGCTTACAATGTTGTGAAGTTTAGTGGGAAATTAGAGGATTAGGAAGTCTTTAAAAACCATCAGAGGACAACTAAAAAGTGATAAAGGGGGAGAAGATGAAATTTAAAGTTGAGCTAGCTAAAAACATCAAAGAGAGTTGCAAGAGTTTTTTTTAGTTATATAAAAGGTAAGAAAGATGCAAGAGTGGACATTGAACTGCTGACAAATGAGGCTGGAGAAGTGGTAACAGGGAACAGAGAAATGTCAGAGGAACTGAATATGTACTTTTCATCAGTCCTCATGGTGGAAGACATCAGTAAGATGCGAAAACTTCAAGAGGTGAGTGTAGTGGCCATCACTAAGGAAAAGGTGTTGGCAATCTGAAAGGTCTGAAGGTGAGAAATCACCAAATGGACCACATCCCAGAGTTCAGGGGATAGGTGAGGAGATTGTGGAGACATTGGAGGTGATCCTACAAGAATCACTGGAGTCAAAAGGGTCCCAGAGGATTAGAAATTGGCCAACGTAACACCTCTGCTTAAGAAGGAAAGGAGACAGAAGACAAGAAATTATAGGCCAGTCAGCCTGACCTCAGTCATTTTTAAAATTTAAAGAGTCCAGTATTGAAGATGAGATTGTGGAGTACTTGAAAGTCTGCAGTAAAATAGGGCTAAGTCAGCACAGCTTCATCAAGGGGAGGTCATACCTGTGTCACGAAGTGGGGAAAGGTTGAACCACTCTGATAATTAACCCGAAACACCAGCCCTAATCTGTTATTGGTGGGAGTAGAAGTTCCCTTCTAAAAATTAAACCTGAAACACCCAGAGGAGCTCGCCTTGCCCTTCGTAATCTGTTAAAAGTGTAGTTAAAGGAAAGGAATCCCTGATACTTATTTTATAAGCAACAAATAACAATTTATTTATTTAACCCTAACATTGAACAAATTAACAGAACTACTAACAAACCAAACAATTCCCCTCTAACTACTAACTATTTCCTAATAAAACAAGTTTCTAATCGTATGTTGTTCCAATGAACACCGATTACGCTTGTATAATTACAAGTAATAAGAAAACAATAAATTAAAACTTAATCTCTCAAAGTTCACACAGAATGTGTCTTCTGGAATGCTTTGACTTCTCCACTGTCTCTCAAGTTATAAACGCCTTTCTTCTGCTGATCCCGCTGTCAGGAATGTTTTCACTGTAATTTCTTCTGTGAGGATTCTTAGTTATAAGTGCTGTGGTATCTTTGATGTTGCTTTTGTTTTGGAGAGCTTAATGATTTTGTGTGAGAGCTAGGTTTATTTCCCCGATGGCAGATTTACTTTCGCTTCAGATGGCAGTTGGTTCTATCCTGATTTTTCAAAAAAAACCCTTCTTATATACACCCAATGACAGATCAATTTCTTATAATATGATTGGTTTCGGGTTGTCAAAACCATCAGTTTTAAATTCAATTGGCTTTCAATCACTGAGTGCTTGGTTTAAGTTAATTGGCTAAGTCCAGTTTATTGTCAAAACAGCAAAACAAGACTGCTGTTTTGCCTACCAACTGTAATGCCTTTTGATACACTGTTTCAATCTGGGGCTGTCTGTACAGTAACTTCCAAGCACAGACAAAGCACAGTCTTTTAAAGGGACCACGCACTGCTTTCTCCCCACTATCGTTTTTACAAACAAATTCTGATTTTCTGCCTTCCAATTCACAAATATTCTACACAACACCGTAATACCTGACAAATCTTTTAGAATTTTTTGAGGAGGTAATGGGCAAGTTAGACAAAGGAGCGCCAGTGCATGTGATCCATTTGGATTTCCAGAATGCCTTTGACAAGGTACCACACAGGAGGCTGCGAAATAAGATGAGCCTGTGGTGTTGGGGCAAGGTGCTGGTATGGATAGAGGACTGGTTGACTGACAGAAGGTAGAGAATAAGGATAAAGGGTCATTTGCAGGATGGCAGTCAGTGACTACAGTTCCACAGGGGTCCGTGTTCATGTTATACATTAATGATCTAGATGGAGGAACTGAGGGCATTGTTGCTAAGTTTGCAGATGACAAAAAGATAGGTGGAGATACAGGTAGTTTGAGGAAGCAGGGAGGCTGTAGAAGGACTTGGACAGCATAGGAGAGTGGGCAAAGAAGTGACAGATGGAAAGTGTGAGGTCATGTGCTTTGGTCAGAAGAATAGACACATTTTTGAAATGGGGTAAAGTTTTGGAATCTGAAGCACAAAGGGACTTAGGAGTCCTAGTTCAGGATTCTCTTAAGGTCAACATACAGATTCAGCATCCGCAGTTCTTGTACAGATTCTGTTGGTGGTTAGGAAGGCAAATGCAGTGTTAGCGTTCATTTCAAGAGGACTAGAATGCAAGAGCAGAGATGTACAGCTTCAGCAGCATAAGGCTCTGGTCAGACTGCATTTGGAATATTGCAAGCAGCTTGGAGCCCCGTATTTAAGAAAGGATGTGGCAGCATTGATGGGGTCCAGAGAAGGTTTACAAGAATGATCCCAGGAATGAAGACTTGTTATATGAGGAGCGATTGAGGATTCTGGGACTGTGCTAAATGGGGTTTAGAAAGATGGTGTGTGGATCTGACTGAAACTTGCAGAATACTGAGTGGCCTGGATAGAGTGGACATAGAAAGATGTTTCCACTGGTAGGAGAGACCAGGACCCGAGAGCACAGTCTCAGAGTGAGGCAATGACCCTTTAAAATTGAGAAAATGAGGAGGAATTTCTTCAGCCAAGGGTGGTGAATCTGTGGAACTCATTGCTGCTGAGGGCTGTGGAGGCCAAATCATTGGGTGCATTTAAGACAGAAATAGATCAGTTCTTTAATTAGTAAAGGGATCAAGGGTTACAGGGAGAAGGAAGGAGATTGGATTGAGAATCATATCAGCCACGATTGAATGGTGGAACAGACTTGATGAGCTAAGTGGCCTAATTCTGGTCCTATATCTTAGGGTCTTAAAGCACGTAGATTTCCTAATGATACATGTGCATTTGTCATTGCTTGTTCCTCTGGTATCAGCTTGATCTTCGTGGATGTTCCTTCTCTGAGGAGTGTTGCAGATCTAGTTTGCTTGCTTGGGAACAGTGCACCTCCAGGACTGAATCATCCTTTTGTCTGTGCAGGTGATCAGGCCTCTTCTTCTAGATCTGCTGTTTGTGGTGAGGGAACAGCTTTGGTAGTTGTCCATAGTTATCTGAGACTGCTGTTGTATCTGCTTTCATGTCCACCAAGTATGATTGATGTGATAGCTACTATTTGTCAGGCCCAGATTATTCTGCAAATTCTATCTGGCTGTTCAGTGTTCAGTTCTGGCAACATCTTGTCAGTTTAGATTAAAGGGAAATTTGGTTTTCTGTTGTCTCAACTTGATTTTGTCACTGTCACATCTGGTCCTGTTTCTGGCTTCATTGATTTTTTTTTTGCCATTGCAACAGTTGATTATGTGCAGTTTGACATTAATCTTTGGATTGGAACTAATTGCTATACATTCAGTAGGTGTATTACTCCATTCAAGGATTGCTCTGTACAAGTCTGTGCTGGTTTGCTTGATTTTTCTTAGGCTCCCTTTT